GGGCAGAGGGTGAGAGTGGCTTTGAAAGTAGCTGTGCCACTCTGTACAGGTGACAGTGAAAAGAAATAAGGTTACATTATCTAAAGCATGGCCACTCACAAACTGTTACAGCTGTAAAAGATGCAACTTAAAAAAAATCTCTGTATGGTGAGATGGCTTCTCATTGTTTTAAATATAAATCAGGCAAACTGTACATTGTAATGTACAGACACCTTGCATCATTATTCTCAGCCACAAACACACAACTTCATTAGCCCAGATTTTGCATGGTGCATCTGGAGCTTTATATCTTTTTTTAATTATGTGAATTATGGTTCTAAATTATAATGAGACAATAATATGGAAAAGACAAAGGCAAACGTTTAATACAGTGTGATATGATAGAAGGTCGTATGGAAATCATTACATGGATGGAACATGTTCTGCTGTACACACACCATATGCACAAATAAACACCTAGGAAACACACACATTTTACTGTTTCCTACATTCTTCTTTAGACTCGCGCCTTCATCTCTTTCAGTAACGCATCGAATTAAATTCCTCACCTTTTAGCCCTCGCCATGACTTACTTTTTCACCCCCCTAAAAAAAACAGTGGCAGCTGTGGGAAACGGAACATCTACCAGAATCCGACTCGACACAAACTTAAACTTCTCTCACGAATGACTTGAGTAAAACCTTCGGGAGCGGCAGTGGTTTCTCTTACCTGGCCCAATTCGCGGAGGCTCGGAGGACGCGCGGTGACAGCTGGAGTTGAGTGGAGAGTGATGTTGAACTGGATGACTGACTGCTGACTGACGGACTGTACGCTTCACACGCTTTATCACAAACGCCCAGCACGCACAGTCGGACCCAGATTTCCTCGTGAACTGCTGCTTCCTCTCTCTTAAAAAAAACAACAACCGAAAAAACGTTTCAAACGTTCTCGCCAGACGAAGGCGGCAGTGCGCTTTGCTCTGTAGTATTTCCAGTTGAAGAAAGAGGTAATGAAATCTTACAAAAATTACTCAGGATACTTCGACATGTCCCGAAGCCGTATGTCTCCCTCATCTGGCCGCTGGTGTGTAAGTGTAACAGACTGGCACCGTGCGTAAAATGTGCACTGCCGTCCTCAGGACCCAGACCTCGTCAATCCCTCTCCTGAGATGCGTGCGTTTGGAAGTATTATGTGGTATTAAGCATATCAAATGTGCTAAGGTGATTACCTGCAAGAGTAGTACTTTTACATTCTTTGAAAACTTGTGTGGAAGCATGATGGATTCGCCTGTAACGTTGGCATGATCTTTAAACTCCCCCTATACAGACAGAGAAATCTGCATAATTTTACACAGGCTGATCCTTCTGTGTGCTGTGTTCACCCCTTAGGTTTCTTGCTTTATGGACTGAACTGTTTGTTGGCATATTGTGTAAGGGAAGAATGATGACTAAACATCAGTGATTCAGCATTTTAGTTGGTAAATGGCTCTATTAAGGAAGCTTAATTGGATGCTTGTAACATATTTTACATTTTCTACCATCCTCCTGACCTTCACTGTAGACTCTTCTCCAAGAAAGTTAGGAAGACTTTCTCACTTCAAATGAGTGAATGCACTCCAAACACATCCTCTCAGAGAAATTCTTAGACATAACCAGACATCTTTTAATAAAGAAAACAATATAAAATACACCAACACAGCAACAGGTCCTTGTTTTTAATGTTGTGGTGTAGATTTGCTATAGCTTACATTCAAAACATTGGTGCAGGTGTTTATGTACTGCTGCTTTATTCTTTATTCTATCGTGTGGTTTTCTGTATTGGAAGTTGAAGCACTTGAAGTCTTTTAGAGTTTTTCAGCAGTCCGCCTATTTTCAAAGGAATGATATGATCATTTAAGTTGCCGCTATGATTATTTCATTATTTTTATGGTCAGAAAATAGTGAGAAAAACTCCATCACAAGTTCCCAAGAGTCCAACATCATGTCTTCAGATTCCTTTTTTTGTATACTATAACGTAAGAGAAATAAAGGCAGCAAATCCTCACATTTGAGAAGCTGAAACCAGACAATGTTCGACATGTTTGCTTGAAAAATTACTTAAAATAATAGTTAATTATCCCAAAACAATTTATGTTTAATATAGTTGTCCAAACAGCTGCTTTTCTATAAATATTAAGTTTTAATTTTCCCAAAGACACACAAAAAATAATCAAAGTGGTATTTTCAATTAGTTTGAGGGGAACTGTCTCTGAGTTACTTTGAGGCAGGAAACAAGCGATGATCAAAGTGTCATGAAACTGTAGAGCTGTGACATCAGCGTGGATCACCTGAACATTTGTTTCTCCCCTGTGATTTTCACCTGAGGTTCATTAGTGGAATAAACAAGGAACGAAAAAGCAGTTCCCCTTATAGGCTGTGAGTGTAAATGATAGGTAGGTACGAGACTTTGTGGCTCCATCTTTAACGTTGTATGTTCAAGTAGCAGTGAAGCACTGGCTGCTGTTTAATCCATTCCTCTGACATTTGGAGCTAAGTGCAACTCTTCCTCTCCCCCTCTCAGGCCCAAGCACCTGTCTGGAAAACAATACCTGCTTGAAACCTTCATCACACAACTCTTAAAATCCCTCTTAATCCTTGAAATGTAGATCTCGACTGTGTTCCAGCCCATTACATAGTTTGCATGCTAGATTTCTTTGTAATGTAGTTCTACTATGTTCCAGCATATACCTTCACAGCTTAACCTACATAAGTCCATTGATCCGTGTCTCACCAACACAACGCTAGCATGTTAAGCATTGCCTAATCTGTCTCATGCTACCTGGATTTTCATATTGGAGAAATAATCCTGATGAAGGGGAGGGGAGGTGCGGGGGGCAGAGTCACCTCAGGACCTGTTTAAAAGCTTCTTATCAGAGACCTGCACTCCCACCATTTAACTAAAAGGGGAGTGATAGCCTTTCAACTCACAAGCCGCAGCTTTAATTAAAGCTGCTTGTGGGGGAGATGAAGTACAGGGTTGTGTATGAGTTGCCCCACTAAAAATCTAAACTACATCAAACAATACAGCTCAGTCCAAAGCGATGGTCTTTTCAAGTTCAATGTTAAAAAAAAAACAATTCTATTTCCCTGGTTCTAAACATATTAATCTGGGCTCATTGCAACTCCAAACTTTCACAGGCTACAGAGCAAACGGTCAGTGTTCAACTATAAATGTTTAAATTAAAACCTTCCAAATCAACTCTGAGGGAATTTTAAAAAAACATAGATCTTTCTTAATAGTAAATTAGTATTTTCCATCTGTTTAGATTTAATACAATCATCGTAATAAAAATATTGATACCAGAAAGTAATAAACAACAGTACAATTTTGGTACTTTTTTTGGTACTTAGTATTTCAATTTCTGCTACGTTCTACTTCTACTCCACTACATAGTACTTTTGATTACTTTCAGGATAAGATCTTTACATGAAAAAATACACATGATGAAGGTTCTAAAATAGACAATATTGTCAAAGATTAAGGGATCAGATGTGTATGAGTTGTTAGCATTTCCACTAATTTAATATTATTTTGTTTGATGTCCAAAGATGTAAACTGGTGTAAAACAAAAAGCGATTAGTAAAGAGCCCTACTGTATTGGGAACCACTGAATTAAACTACCAAACTGTATTTAAAGCAACAAAAAAATTTACATTAGGTCAGGCAAGTAATCAACGCAATGGAGAGAGCTGATAACAACCAAAAGTAGTATATAAAGGGATGAATATGAAGGGAAGAAAACAAAATAATTCAATTAAAAACTCAAAAATCCAATAATTATAATAATAATAATACAAAACATAAAAACCTTGAAATAAATCAGTAGGGACGGACAATTCATTTGACTTCAAGACCTGTTGCTTTTTTATTGTTTAGAACAAGAGAGGTAAATTCAATCAAATAAAGAGGGAAAGAGGATTGTGAACCGAAAAACTTTTATTTATGAAAAAAGAATTTTCCCTGTAAAACAAAAAATTAAAACAACATAGGTTTGATACTCATATTCTAATAAAATAACTGAGTATATGTCTTTAAGAGAACAACTGTGGGTAAAATAATGGCATTCAAAACATAAGAATTTTGTTATTTTACACTGAGAGAAAATAATGTTCCATCAGCATGTCCAGAAAAAGAACAGCAACCATCAACATCGACATATGTGGAGATTATAAAATAGCATAGCTTTCATGTAAAAAAATGAAATGAACTTTGACTTTGTTAGGAATTCAAGATTTATTAGGTAAAGGACATTTCTTCCAGTTTATTTATTCGAAGCGTGAGTTCATCAGGGCTCTAATTTTTAAACGTTCCCCCTCAGTCAGTGATGTAATGGCATTTCCCATCATCTACATGTCAAATCATACAGCTGTTTTATATTCTATGCTATTTTCACTGATGGCAACCATGAACTGCTGACTTCAACCTCCAAATCAGACTTTCTTCTGTGCCTATAAAATAAGTTAAATTTTTGAATCCATGCTACACATGATTTGTTGTCAGAGTGGTTGTCTCGGAAATTCCCTCCCCGTCTCATTTGGGCTGCAGTTTGATCGTACTTTCACTAACTGGAAAAGGCATTTTGTTTTCAGTTTGCTTTACAGCTTTGAGGAAATGTTACGCCTTAGAAATTTTGGCTGCTATAAGCAGAGATGGTGCTTTACTTACTTAGCTCTTTAAATTTTAATGCACAACAGGAAATTCACAAGGAGTAACAATGATTCATAAAAGACCATATTAGCTGAGGCAGTGTCAGATAATAGCAGTTTAAAGACCAAAACAATTTACACGAGGTATCAGGAGCAGAAATGTGCTACTATTATACATCATTACTATGCAGTGTAAACACAATTTGAGAAAATCTGTCCAAGCCAGTTCTAAGGTATTCAGATAAAGAACAAAGACCTGTCTGCAGAACATAAATGAAATAAAGATTAATCCAAAACAAGATATTTTCTTTCAAAGAAGAAATAAGAAAACAAGACTTGTAGCCAAAATCGTTTATTTTAGTAGTTTCCATCAATATTCTTTTTTTGTCTTTACATAAAGCTTGTCACAAAGGAATACATACATTCATTAGGCAGGTCAAGGGAAGGTAAAATGAGAACTAATGGGCACCTGATTCTGTTTAATGATCAATACCTGGGAAAAGAAGCGAAACAAGGCAACTCATCACAAGTGGCAAAGCCTAGAGTCTTACCTCAACTGGCAACAGCTCGGATCAACAGAAAAGCAGAAGACAGGTAAACATGTGACATACAGCAAAACAGGCCTCACAGAGAGATAGACAAAAGTGCCCTTTATAGTGTAAGGGTAGATAAGCAATAGAGACTGCATTTACCGCTGTTAGGAGCTTGTTAAAAAGCAGTGTTACACACAGGGCTCATTTATTAATATTGCTACTGTGCTTTTCTCACTAAACAGTCCTACTCAACGACAGAAACCCTGCATTATTAGAAGTGAAAGACACGTAAAAGAAAGGAGAGGAGAAGATGGTCTGCGGTTTGTCCAGTTCATCAGTTGTAGAAAAGAAATAACGACTTAAAAAAAAAAAAAAAAGTTATTGTGAAATATGGATATCTGCTCGTGAACAGTCACTTCTGCTGCAACCTGGCAGCTTTAAACTTCGACACCCTTTTTGGGGCTTGCTGGGGCGGGGGGGCGTCAGGTGCCACCTCCTCCTGTTTCCTCTCCAGTATGGTCGGCAGAGCTGGTGGAGCGATGGTCAGATGGGGGACAG